ATCCTTTTGATCTGGGAAGTTAGAATGTTGTTTGCCACATCTGGTGAGCCTTGGTTTGGTAGCCAGTAACAAATCTCACAGTTTAGTAACCCTTACTTGAAATAGCAGCTCAGGCTATTAACAGAAGGGCTGCCTGGGACCCTGTGTTGAGTTCTTTTTTTTTTTTTTTTCTCCCTTCCCCCTCTTCCCATGCTCTCAATTCCCTGTGCTGAGTTCTAAGGACTCCACCCTCCTGTGATTCTCTCAGTGGGCATCTTCTTGCCATCTTTTTCCTGGGGTATATTTCTGCCTTGTAGCATGCTGGACTGCAATCAGGGTTTTTTGTTTGTTTGTTTGGTTTTTAGTACTAAATATCCACCTCCTAAACAGAAAGGGTTTAACTAAAATTTATTTTGGGGAACATACTAGAATCCTACAGCCATTAAGTTTATAGTCCAGTTCTCACGACACCATTTCTGACCAAACTTCTAGCTTTCCAATGAAGTGTACCTTTTACTAAATCCTTTGTTGTTGTTTTTCTGTTTTATACTCATCACACATCTCATGACAGGTTTGGTCATGGTATTCCAGTCATAGGTGTGACTATATGACTGTGCTCAAGTGTCAGTGACCAAAATGTATTCTTTGGTGTCTGGTTAAAGTGGGGATCTGATCACTCCAGATAGCAGTCTCAGAGGGTGACATGCCTTGCCCACACGCCAGTTGCAGTCTCTCCTTGCTGTGAGGTCAAAGCTGTTCTGCTTCTTCCACTGACCACTGATGCTGGCTTCACAGATACCAGGTCCAGCTTGGGAAATGAAGGCAGGACAGGGGTAAGCTCTGATACCCACTTCATGTGGACCTTTGCCGGAAGGCTAGAAGCAATTAACAGTGGTTGCCAAATGGGCTGTACACATTTAGACAGAATAGCATTGCTAAGCAAAATAGGTGTTTAAAATGTTTAGTTAACAAGGCAGGGTATGGTGCTGCATGCCTTTAATCCAGCGCTAAGGAGGCAGAGACAGGCAGTTCTCTGTGAGTTTAGGGCCAGCCTGGTCTACACTGTGAGTTCTGGGACAGCCAGAGCTATGTAAAGAGACCCTGTCTCCAAAAGCAACAATAACAACCAAAAACCAAGAAACAGAAACTGAAATGTTTTAGTTAACAGGTCTGGGGAGGTAACACAATCGACATCGTATTTATCTATCGTGCATGAAGGCTTGGGTTCTGCCTCTAGCATCTCATAGACTGGGCATGGTAGTGTGCCTGTAACCCTAGCACCAGAGAAATAGAACCTAGAGGATCCCAAGTTTAAGGTCATCGTCTGCTACACAGCGAGGTCTAGACCAGCATGGGCTACATAAGACCCTGCAATGATGAAGAACAACCAGTTGGTTTATATATACATTGTTGAAATCATGTTTTGAGGTGAAATATATGATAAATTCATCCTATGACCAGTCCTCATCACAGAAGATTCTTCTTTCAGTAGAAGGGAATTAACAGACACTCCCAGACAATGAAGAGGGTGAGACTGTGGCTGTCTTTATCAACTCATCCTGTTGAGGCTCAGGGGTCTGTGAAGAGGAGATTGGACCATTTAAGGGCCAGAGGTGATGGGTAATTTCAAGGGAACACCTTGTTTCAGACACCACAGGACTGATGTACAAATGAACTCACAGGGACTGAGGCAGCACACACAGGACCTGCACAGGTTTAAGCCACATGGGGTCCCAGCACCGGGAAAGGGAAGTAGATATGGAGTTCCCACGCCAACCAAGAAGCTATTGGCAAGTGACAGCTGCTGATAAAGAAAAAGTCAGTTTTCTCCAATGGAGTGTCGCCAGGTATATCACCAACACTCCAGGGCAGGCCCCATACCTAGGAATAGTTGGCCAACACAAAACAAACTCCATATATTTTATGTGGGTTTCTTTGGTGTGGAATTTTGCTTTGTTTTAGTAATGTCTGACTTATGTTTAATTTTTATTTTTTTAGATGTTTTCAGGGAGAGAAAGAACAAGAAGTTGGATGAGCAGGGAGGTGGGAAGGTTCAGAGAGCAACTGGAGAAGGGGAAATCATGATCAAAATGTAGTGTATAAAAACTTTTTTAATTTTTAAAATAAAGTAAAGCTATTATAATATCCCACTAATTCTGTCTTTTCTATTTATCTAATGTGGTGGTTAGACAGCTAAAGTATTTTAACTCTATGGTGTAGAGATGGTCTAGGCAGTGTTAGGGTATGCACATTTATAAATGTATAGTGCTCTCAGCTGAATTGTAAGCTCCCTGGGGGTAAGAACTATGTCACCCAGTTCTTTACATGCCTTCACACACCCAGCAGGAGTTCAACCATCAGTAACTCCTGTGTGTCCTCCTGCTCACCCTGGAGTCTGGTGATGTAGTACAAATGGCCCAAGCCACTTGAGGGACTCTCAGGAAGTGGAGACCCTGTGATAGAAGGGTTGAGTCTGCAGTGAGTCTCAGTGCTGAGCAGCTAGACCATGACAGACCTTCACAGACTTCCGTGGGTAAGCGGAGCTTTCGCCAGCTCAACTACTCCTCAGTTACTCTGTGTTCCCAGACTGTGGAGCTGTCTGGAAGTTCTGCTAATCATTCACCACACTTGGCTTCCTTGTTCGATATGACTGTGGGCAGGTCTGCTTTAGGATGGACAAGTCCTACCTTTGGAGCCCTGAGAGCAGGACGCTCATGTGTTAATACACAGTGCCTATCCTTTGATGTTAGGCCAAAGTGGGGATCTGACCACCCCACATGGGGAGCCTCAGAGAGCAATGTGCTGGGCACACATGCCAGTTCCAGCCTCTCAGTGCTGAAGCCAGGCCTGTCCTTCCTCCTCTGACCACTGATGTTCAGCTCACAGCTGCCAGGCACAGCTGGAGAAATGAGTCATAACCAGGTTGTAGGATTACAGGTGATTGTTAGTTTTTGTTTTGAAAGGAAAGCAAGAAAAGTTTATTGAAAAGAAACAATTCCCTGTAACCAGGAGTAGAGCTGGGGGAAAAATGGGTTGCCCTATGGGTTATTTGCATTGTTCTTTTTGCTTATATAGTTTCCTTGATTTTCCTACAGTAAGTGCACACTAAGCAATTTTAAATTCAGATAAGCAAGGTAGGTTTATTTAGAAGGCAGAATGAAGCTTTATTTTCCCAATTTGTCTTTACACTCATTTCCCCAGCCTACCAAATTTCTCAGCAGCCAAAAGCAATCTGAATTACTGCCATCTTTAAGGGCAGAGGGAGGGGTTTCAGTTTTCTGGCATTAATCCACTTTTTGAAAGAACAAAATTGCAGTGGTCCTGTCCTAGAATGGCTTGTTTTAGGTTTTTTGTTTGTTTGTTTGTTTGAGTACTGGGTAGACTCACAGCTGCTAGTAAGCTTCATACTACTAGGTAAAACAACGATACCTACAGTGCACTGTGTTGTTCTGATGTTCTGTGGTGTGTGTGTGTGTGTGTGTGTGTGTGTGTGTGTGTGTGTGTGTGTGTGTGACTACATGTAAACAAGTACATGTGAAGGCCATATTGGGAACTGCCCCTCAGTCACCATCTACCTTGTTTTTTTGAGGCAGACCTGAGGCTCACCACATAGGATATAATAGGATAGGACAGGCTGACTGGCCAGTGAGCTCAAAGGAGCTGCCTGCCTCTGCTTCCACAGTATTGGGATCACATGCACACACCATCAGAACTGGATTTTTCATGGATTCTGACAATTGAACTCAGGTCCTCATGCTTGAGTGGCAAGCACCTTAGCAACTTGAACTGTCTCCCCAGCCTGATGTTGTGTAGGTTGGCTTCACTCCTGCTGTGATGGGTTTATCACATGACTCCATCAGAAGCTAAGGGACATCATATTTGGGTAGGAGTGGGAGCTCTGGAGTGGTGCTGTGATTGGGTATAGATGTCCTTTCTCCCTCCCCCTGCACATGGTTAGTATACAGATCCTCTGCTCTGCATTAACTGGTGGCCTGAACATGATTATCCAGAAGACTAATATTAGTCAGCTTGGCTCCTGATCTGTGATGAATTTCCTTGTTCCTTCAAGACTCCTATTCTCCCTAGAAAACTCTATTCTGTGTACCCTCTGCAATAAATCTGGAATCATTTGTGTACTGTGCACATACTTTCTGTTTCCTGTACCTGGTTTCCCACAATCCCCTTTGCCTGTGCTCACTGACCACTAACCAGTGCCAGTGAGAGATGAAGCAAGTGAACTATTTCCCATTACACTATAAATGACTTTTGAGAAAACTCTACCTGTAGTCGCTTGGAGCCATGTAGAGAAGGCAATTCTGGAAAACATTCAAATTGAGTTTTGCTGGCATATGTACACCCTCCAAAAAAAAAAAAAAAAAACCCTCAAAATGTACCTCTGACAGTTTGTCTACAGGCCATAAAGATGGTGATGGGTTGGTGGTAGTCAGTGAGAGGTGGATGAGGTTGAAAGCAGAGGAGGGGAGGAGATTTCTCAGCAGTCTTTAAGCTATGTTTACTACACAAGACTAGAAAAGTCAGGTGGATGCTATATGGTCTCATATCTAAATGTTTAAATGCCCATGCCCAGAATGAAGGCATCCACCTTTACAAATAGACTGAAGTTAGGTCTGAGAATTACTCCAAGGATGTGTGAGAGCTTAAGCAAGCATAGGCATTGTCTGAATACCACAGCAACCCAATCCACCATTTCCTCCCCCGCCCCTTTCCACATGAGCACCAGGCTGGATGAGAAGAGGGGAACTTGAGCCAGGGACAAGCATGAGCCAAAGCCCCTCGGAAGCTATGGAGAGGAACCCTGGAAAACCCACTTAGTTCCCAGTGTACCAGAGTGGAACGGTCCAATGAGGCCAAATGTGTAGGCTTGTCCCAAATGTTTCCTCTCTGTGGGGTAGCAGTGGGTGAAAGGAGATGATAAAACCAAGTAGAAGACAATTCTTCCCAAAGCCTAGAACTTGAAGCACCTGTACCTGAGTTTTGCATTTTGTTAGATTAGTAGATCAATGGGAGATTTTATTGGTCATATATGTCCTGGCTTGTTTCTGGTCTTTTATGGACTGTATAAAGCAATAGTAGTCTCCAGAGCTATGATATTCCATGACTCTCTTCTGTATCCTTCATCCCTCTCTAAGAGTAAGGGAAGATGGGACAGGCTGTGGCAAATAGTCCATACAGGCTGGTTGAAGACAGTGACTGGCTGCCTCTTGATAGTTTATGAGGTGAACTGTGTTGAAGGAGAGTTGAGATTTATGAACAATGGGATGCCACCCAGGTTTATGTATCCCAAGGAATGGCAGCATCTCACCATGTTCATCCTCCTCACCCTTGATGGTTGTGTAGAAATTGCGAGCAAGAACGTGCTGCGGCAGAGGTGTGTGATCCTAGAAAGAGGTTCCACGGTCCTGGGCTTCTATGTGCTCTTGATGCTGCTGCTGTCACACATTAAGGATTCATCTGGGGTGGAGCTGCAGGTTCACTCTCTCCTCATTTTGGTGGTGTTCCTGCTGATGCTGGTATTGACTGCAGAGCTGTGGGATCCTAAGATGTTTCACCTCTGGATGATAGAGACCTTCCTGTTCCTGATGATGGGCTCGTGGCTGATTCAGGCAGCCTTCATTCTGTTTAGACCGATCTCTGGCTATCCATGGGAAGATGATGACATCAGTGACATCATGTTTGTCACCACCTTCTTCTGCTGGCATGTGATGATCAATGCCTTATGCCTGTTGGGAATCTATGGCATCTCTTCCTTTTGGCACTGCTTTTACAATCCCAGCTTGAGACTGATGGGGTCCAAGGAAGCGCTGTATCATGAGAGCTCTTCAGGAACATTTTACAGGCTGCTGCAGGAGGCAGAGCAACAGGACAAAGATGACCAGGCTCTTCTCCCTTCAAAGAGCCCTGACTGTGACAGGGCTTAGAATACCTAGGCATATACACCACTTCATCTTCCTCCTTTGGGTTCTCTTAGGCACTTGTCATGCACCCCCTTCCTTGGTGATCTTAATGGCCCTATGAGACAGCAGTTGGTTCCAATCTGTTGGAGCAAAACTCTGAGTCTCCAGTTGATGCTGAGGGGAAAAGGGTCAAGAAAGGGATGCTGATGGGACTTGTGGAGAGGGAGGGCAGAATCCAAGTCAGGGGAGGAGAGTGCAACAGAATGACTTGAAAGAGAGGAATCTTCAGAGAGCCCAGAATACTGTGGTCAGAGCTGTTTCTCTGGGTATCACTGATTGCCTTAGCCTGAGGGAATAAAGATTTCTCATCACTCAAAACCAGAATCAACTGTCTCATTCTGTAAAGTAGATTCAATTCTTTCTATTATTTTTCAGACAGGATCTCACTATATTGCCCTGTTTGGCTTGGAACTCAATATATACATGTATACCAGGCTGTCCTCAAACTCAGAGATCTGCCTGCCTCTGCTTCCTGAGTGCTGGGATTAAAGGTGGGTACGACACAGGTTGAGATTATATTCTCTTGGGCTGGTATTAGAGCTGTGGCGACAGAATGCTTGCTTAGCATGCAAATAGCCCTAGGTTCAATACCCGTACTAAAAACCAAGCATGGTGGGGGCATACTGTCAATCCCAGCCCTCTAGATGGAGGCAGGGAGATCAGGAGTTCAAGATCATACTTGGTTACATATTGAATTTTAGACCAACTGGGGTAATTTCTATTTCAGTAATAAGTTAATAAAGCTCATCTTTCTTTTTGACCCCCTCCCCTGATCTTTAATGACTGACTTCATTTTAAATTTTAGTCATTTTTAAAAATAAATTTAATAGTGGCATAAATTTGCATAATGGGAGCTTTTCTAGAGTAGCCATGCTTGGTCATTTCCCAACTCCGTGCTTCAGCATGCCTACTGTAGCAAAGCTTGGTTTACCCCCTTACATGTGTAACTTACTACACACCATCCCTGGGTCTCCAACTTTTCCCCCTTGCATTTCACATTCCACAGTCACAATTTTGTCTGTCACTCGATGCAAGACTGTAACCCCTTCCGCCTCCAAGGCAGTGAGCTTTCCCTGAGAGCTCACATGGACTTTGTCGGAGCACTGGGGCACTTACAGAAAATCCTCCTTATTTTTTCCGAAACAGCTGGCACTTCTGGCTTTGTCCTGGTTTTGAAATATTTTCCCTTGGGGAGTTTTCCCTCACCAACTAATATGTAGGTTTCAGAAGAATAAGGATTTTGTGGTATCCAAGTTACACAATTCCTCCTGTGTATTCCAACTGTGTGACAGTTCCTGGTTACTAAAAAGGCTCATCTGGTCCCACTGCCCACCATCACCTTTCCTTCCTTCTAAATGCGTTGCTCAACAGGTAATAGGTTCTGCCAACCTCTGGGCAATGCCAATCATCCTAAAGCATGACATCATCTTCTTGGTCATGGCCTGCTCTCTTTGTTCTTGGGGAAGAGTAAAAACCCCAAATCAGTTTGCAAATTGTTTAGTCTTTTGATGTTGGTGGTGTAGCTTCGGTTGTGTTGTTTAGTCCTGAGGGTCAGAACCCCAGCCTGCTAACACTCCCCCACACACCCAGCCCTCACAATGATCACTACAGTCTCCGGTGCTTCTGTTGGGAAACTCTAGAAACCTGGTTCTATTGTGGGTGCACTTGCTGGAAACCAATTTAAGCCATGTGTCAGACTCAAGTCTGTGACAGTGTCACCCAGACTACTTCCCTAATGGCAATGGAGGAGGAAGTGATGCCCAGGATTAAACAAGGGCTAAAGGGAAGTGTGGGGAGGGGAGGGACCAGTCACAGTCCTAAGAGGAAGTGGCAAAATGTAACTACCCCAGATACCCATAAAGGCCTGGCTTATGCTAGACTTTCTGATCAACTGATTGCTCGGAGAATAGAGTCTTGCATACTCTGAGCTGTTGGCTTGGTTTAAGTTTCTGGACTCAGAGCCAAGTGAGGGCTGAGGGTGAGACCTGTTTATGATCAAGTCCTTGAATTAATTTCCCATTTATTCTTGGTTCCTAGACTCTTGTCAATTGATTTTGCAGCATCCCTTTCTCTTTACCTTCCTTGCACGCTGATACAGGGTGAGGTGCAAACACAGTTGGCTGCTCATTTCTGGGAATCTGGCATGATAACTCTCTGGTAATGGGCAGTAATATGAATACAATATCTCTCAAACAGCCAGTGTAGGCAAAGCATTGGACATTATTATATATCATGTAACATAGGAAAGGTAAGAAAAACCTTCACACTCAAGTCTTCTGGTGGGGGTGGGGGAAGAGTCTGAAATCTCTGCAAGACTCCACCAGAGGGCGCTATGTCACCATCACCCTTCCAAACACCAGAGCCTAGTTGGGCAGCCCCAGTAAACAAGCCTTTGAAATCAGTTTAAAAAGAAATGGGGGAGGGGAAAATAGGATAGAAGAAGTTCAGAAGCCGGCTAGATGTTGCCCAAGAATCCAAAATACATGCCACAGGGCTATGCGTTTCCTGTTAAAGTTTGACAAACATGAAATAAACAGGGATCCAAAACAGCCAATGAGGGCAGGGGTTGAGGGGTAAAAGGCTGTGTGTAGGTCCAGCTGAGGATTCCTTTGGGAAAAGAACCAACTAAAGGACACATTTTAATCCAAGTAATTTTTCCACAGAGCAACTTTTCCTACACTTTCAAGTAAGCTTCAGTAAGGCTCCAAACCCTCCAGAGGTCAACCTAGAGAAAACAGAACTGTGTACACACCAGGAAATTGTATGTATGTATGTATGTATGTATGTATGTATGTATGTATGTATGTATGATGTATGTATTTATTATGTATGTATTATGTATGTATAAATATATAACCAGTGAGATGGCTCAGTGGTAAAAGCATTCACTGTGGGAGCATGACAGCCTGAGTTTAGTCCCCAGAACCTATGGTGGAAGGAGAAAATTGACCCGAGAGTTGTCCCCCAACTTCCACATATAGACACGTGAGCCCCCTCATTACACACACACAGTAAATCAATTGATTTAATTAGTGACAGATTATTGTAAATAAAAATTTATTCAAAATTCAATCTTTCTCTAAACTGGATGGTGGTGGCATATACCTTTAATCTCAGCACTCAAGAGGCAGAGAGACAGGCAGATCTCTGAGTTCAAGGCTAGCGTGGGCTGCAGAGCAAGTTCCAGGATAGCCAGAGCTACACAAAAATTCTGTCTCAAAAAAAAAAAAAACCAAAACCCAAAACAAACAAAAACAAAAACAAAACAAAACAAGAAAAGGGCTGGGGAGATTGCTCTGACAGCTCTTCCAGAGGACTGGGGTTCAATTTCCATCACCCATATGACAGCTCACAACGGTCTGTAACTACAGTTCTAGGGGACCCAACACCCTCACACGGGCATACACACAGACAAAACACCAATGCACATCATAATAAAAATAAGTAACAGTAAAAAACAAACAATGAAGGTGTCTGGGAATACAGCTCAGCAATAGAGCACTTGTCTAGCATACCCCACGGCCCTGGGTTCACCTCCAGACTGGAGAAGAAAAGGAGGATAGAAGGACATGAAGGTCCAATTCTAGAATCGTATTTGTGGCTCCAAGTCTTAGTAGGACTTGCTTTCCCATGCTGTCAGGTAGACGAGCTTGGTTCTTCGGAACAGAGGTTAAGATTTGAGGTAGAGCTCAAACAGGCACAAACCTTCCACCCTAATGTGCAGCTTGAGAAATGGGGTGCTCCCTCTCTGTGAGTGTCTTCACTGAGCATTTGACAAAACTCCCATCAGGTGAAAGACAGTTGACATTCCAACTTTGAATTTCTTCTCTGGAACTGAAGAGTATCAAGTAATTAAGCTATGTAAAGACCTCCCTCCCTCCCATGCTTAGGTTACTGAATTCAGTCTTAGGTTATTGAATTCAAGTGTAATCTGCTCTTTCCTTCTTTTATTGTGTAGAGTGGATTTTGAAAGGCTGACTAAATACAACTTTCCCGAGAAACACCCTTTACAGGGTCCAGGAATGCTGTCGACCTCCAGTGCTCTGCCTTTATTCTTTTGTTTGGGCTTGGCTTGACATCTGTTAGGCTCCATTTTTTTGGCCAGAACTAATTTGGATTTCTAAAAACAAAACAGGTTACATTCTGGGTTTGGTTTTCAGGGTGACTGCAACTCGAGTCCCCACTGTATTTTTTTTAGCCTGGTTTCAAGTTTTCACGGCTTGCCCGCTAAAGTCAGCCCATGTGCAGCAAACTCCACTTCCCAACAGCATGTTTTAGTTGAAGGATTGGGTTCAGTGGAACCACATCCTAAATTTGACATCATGAATTCGAGGCAATCAGGCAGGCTGTATGTACTCTTATGACTCTAGAAGAAGAGAGGCAGACATGCAGGAAAAGAAGTGGTAAGAACTCATAGGAAGCTGGGTGGTGGTGGCACACTCCCTTAATCCCAGCACTCAGGAGGCAGAGGCAGGCAGATCTCTATGAGTTTGAAACCTGCCTGGTCCACGAGAGCTAGTTCCAGGATAGCCGAAAAGCCACAGAGAAACCCTGTCTTGAAAAACAAAAAAACAAAAAAACAAAAACAAAAAAAATTCATAGGAAAGTCCTACCCAAGACAAAGCCATCAGTGTAGGTAGCCAACCACTGATGAGATGTGTTTAGTTCTGGGTTATTTCTGCAAATTTGGTTCAAACTCTTTCCCTGTAACCAAATTCTTCCACTCCATCCACCCTTGGG